TGTCAGTCCTAAATCTTTTGATGGTGACCAAGATCGAGATCTATCCAAAGATTTTGGATAAGGGAGAATAGTGTAAGATTATTTATGTTACCGCTATCGAAATGTTGCCGCGTTTAGCCCCTCTGATTGGCTGCTCCCGGTTAACTAACCAATCAGAAGTTAGAATAATTTGTACTGCAAGTCTCGTCAAAAGTAAAGTCCCTAAATCCTACACACAATGCCAGTTTCTTATGAAGTACACATACTTACACGTAGCCAAATTCTCATGAATATTTATTTGTTATTTGATTTCTTTTGTTTCTCTTGTTTACTGTTGTGACTTATATTGTGGCTACTATGTCATATGAATGAAGTTTTGTTTCTTATTTGGTCATGGTACTACAACCGATTTGAAGGTTTCAACTTGAACATCAACAGCCCATCCATAAAAGTGTTTGATTTATAATCTCTACGCTTCGCAGGAAAATTAAAGATCGCATCATATTTAGAGCATATTTCCAAAAATTCTAGCCATATTTTAAATATACCAAAAAGCAGTACCTATATTACAGTTACTCAAAATATTCGCAACAACTCAATCCCAGTTATTCATAAACAAAATACCTTAAAATTAAACAGCAATTCACACTAAAACCTAGTCATTTTAAGGCATACCTGAAATGAAAACAGCTTTTGCAAATTATGACTTGGAGCTAAATATTTAGAGTGCATACTTGTACAACTTGAAAATGCTTGGTGAAATACCGCAGCAATATAGACGGTGTTTCCTCTAAAGTAAATGTACTTGTTTAGTATTAAATAAATTGTTTATTAGTTAGTTTTGCATTTGAACGCCGGCTGTTTAAGTTATATTTATCGTACGTATATATTCTGCGCCTTGTGCATTTAGTGGAGAAATTAATTTCGAAGCTCTGTAAATGGTTTGCATATTCAGGTATTATTTTTTAATTCTGGCGTCAATGTTATTGCTGATTTTGTGGTCCATGTCTCGATTCTAAAATGGGGTGTGGATGTTAAGTAAAGTATTTAGTCACGAGTGTATTATTTGATCAAATTCTATTCCAATTCTTGTTTGATAACCATCGATACATTTTTATATCGCTTAATCTATAATATCGATGAATCATTAAAAAGTGAATTATTTACCTTGCTGTATATTAAGATGACCTTTAAATGTATCTAATTAGAATTTATTTTCGTCTAAATAATATAGAATTGATCATTAATTATTAGTGTTGTGGCTTACGACTGCTACGTGGGTTTTGTAGTTAGTTCATAGTCGTATCCAGTTATGTAACGAATTATTATTAATAGTAAATATGGACGTACTGGTCAGGTACCCGTAGGTACGTATACCAAACAAAAGACTTTCATCAATCATTCACAGAACGTGAGGTATTATGTGTATTGGAACTTAAAACTTGGTTTTTTCTTTAGTCTTTAGTCTCCAGTTCTTATCCTTATACTTCTTTGTTTTAAATTTGAAAACGAAAACTTACGTAGATGGAATGGTTTTTTGGCTCATACGCATTCGTCCGAAAAATACAAAATCAACTTAGCGTTTAATGAATATTCTTGATAACAAACGGAAAAAAAGAAACTGATAAAATTAATAGAAAGGATATTAAATTATTGTGCTTTCTGCAGAAACTATATCATTGTGTATTTCAAGAATAAAGATTGCATCTTTATAGAAAAGATGAGAACAATTGATATTTAATTCAAAATTGTAATTGATAGGACACAACTGAATACCTACAACTTTATTGATATACACTTCAAATGTAGCCTATTTACGCGAATGTGATATGGTAAGCATAATAAAGATAACTGATAGATATCGCTAACAATATGTTTCAAAGAAATTATATTATGTCATTCGTACTATCAGGGTTTCGGATTATTTCTGCTTTATGCAGAATTTCTTGTAAGGACATTGATACATGCATTTAGCCACGCACGCATGTAAGAAACTATTTTCCGTTTTAAAATCTGACTATTGAGTACACAATGACATAGAATTATAGACTCACACTTCGTTTTTATCTCACTATGGGACTATGCCCATCTATGGATCTTTACCTACACTCTTCGTGTCTATCACATACTGAGTCATTTATTAGGCAATCAGTATTCACTGGGTACATTCGTACCAATTGGTATTATTTTATAACTTCAAGTAAATTTGATTGTCTTGTAGGTACTCCGTACCTAACGTTTCCTTATATAGTTCGGTTTACAACTAAAGTATCAGAAGTAAAAATAGCTTCACCCTCCTACTAAAACAGGTGACGACAGCATTATGCCAGATGGAGGCCAGATTATCCACCTGACTACTATTATCTTTCCGGCCGTCATGTAATTAATTTCCAATCTTACTCGCCTTTATATAAGATTCATTTTTATAAACAGATGGTTTGATTCTGTCATTTCCTAAAACTATCCAATAAGACATTGGTGATCCATTTAAAATGGACACCATTGTCTTATAAGAATCCGAAAAGTCGACGTAGCTAGTTAAAAATTACCAATACCCCAAAATACGGGTCTAACCATGGTTAGACGAAAATTACCACTCAATTAACAGTCAGTCAAATTGGATTACTGAAGATAGAATTTTGATACTCCATGTTTGACAAAATTATATCTTAAATAGGTACCCATTACCGAAATATCGGTGGGTATATTGAGATTCACATTCAAAATCGAAGGTTGATCTCAATGTTAATTAAATTTTCTTATTTTTTTCGTAATGAAGGTAGAAGTAAGCATTCCTTTCTTCCTTTGTCTCCAACCTAGAAAACAAGATCCTGGAGGGAAAAGGACATCATCAGTGTTTTACCCCTTAAAAAAGTAAATGCATCCATCCATGTTTCTCGTCCTCTTGAGTAAAAATCATTTCTTCATCATCTGCACCCTCGTTCATTCGTTGGTCAAATGATCCTCCACAGCCCATGAGGAGGGAAAATATAAAACAGGATGACATCGACACTTGTGTCATTGGCATTTTACCTTAACATCTCGGTAAAACATAGCGCAGTAGCTGGGTAGTTCGTCACAAAATAAATTCGTCCCAATTTTAAAAACTCCATACATTAAAGTAAATTCGTCAAATGCATTAAAAATGTATGTAAAGTGTAAATTGGTGATTTTATGTCATTATTACCAAAAGTAGTAGATAGCATGCATAAATATCGTTGACTTTTGTACATAGATTCGATCCTCTATAATTTTGAAGGTATCCCAAGAATCATACAAAATATCATCCGACGAATGAAATCTACCTCTACCCTTCTTTTTAAACACCTTTTACTTAGATATGTTGTCCTAGTAGCTACAGTTACAGTTTAAATCCTAACATAATTATAAAAATTATAAAATTTTAAGGCATTATTTTATCCTACCTCTTTTAATAATATTTTTTTCTTCTATCGATATCATTATTCCTTTGTCTTGTGTGTCTGATTTGCGGAATAGAATTTTTTTTTTTCAAACCAAATCACGCCTATGGGAGGTATATGGGGAATACTTCGGGTGAAATGATTTGTGTAAGTCTCATTCGCCTAGGTACTTTTTGTGGAATACCTCCCTGCTTCGACCCAGTAATGTAAAGGAAAAATTTATTGATTTAATCTTGTCGTGTTGTATTTTATATCTATTATCCTTGTGAAAAAAGGCACTGTAACGAATTTACAATTACCAAAATTTAAATTTGGCATTTTTATTAAATTGATTTGTGACGTGAATTAATGTGACATTTATAATTTTTTTTATGACGAATTTACTTGGTGACGAATTTACTAATAAGAACCCCAGTAGCTGAGTGAGCGATCAACCACGCGCAATAACCACGGTTTGATCCCCTTGCGAGGTATTCCGACAAACAAATGTGAACGTCACGACATCGACCGTATTATTGATATTAATGTTATCGAATACAGATTTTAGGTATTTTACCTTGTATTGGACGATTTTGTGTATCTTGTCCAAAAAGTGTCAGTTTACTGATTTTCATTTACAACATTCTAATACGACGCCTTGCAATTATAAAAATAGTTCATATGTAGGCAGGTGATAATTACCAACGCCCGGCATTATGTACGATCACCGGTGATTACGAGATTATCTAACAGAGATAATGTGTGTTTAAAACAAATCAATAACAAAATAATAATAATACAACCAAACAGTGAGCGGGAAAATAAAATAGCCAATTGGCAACAATTAATAAAATTGAATAAGACAGAGTCAGTGCCGGTGTCCTGAGAATAGCCGCCATTACGCGGAAACCACAATGACACATCACACTTTACCGTAAAACACAAAATAAAAAATAAATCAACGTGAAACGAACACAGTCAACATAAAAAAGGTTAAAAGCATCGCGTTGCATCGTAAAGCAACCGGCGAGTAACATAAACAACACAAAACTCAGATAAAATGCACAGTTATCAACACAAAACAAAAACACAAGTTATAACCTAAACAAACTATAAATAACGCGCGAAGAATGCAGCCGTGAATAACATATAGTAGAAGGAAAGTGAAACTGAATCATATCGATTGATCCCGTCGAGAGTGAACGTCCCTTCATCGGACATAAACAACAACACGCTCCACGCGTACAACAAACTTCCCGGAAACACATGCGCGGCTTCTACAAAACTTATTCGAATCTCACGTCCAAGTTTACCGCGCCGCTGGACGCACAAATATCAGCCGCTACTTCTCCATATTTTATTTTTAGTCATGGCGTAACCGCACAAGGAATGTTAACTCAAACGATTTAATAAAACGCAGAGCCTTCATGTAAACGGAACAAAGTTTTCACAAGCTAACCTCACTCTGAAAACCGACCGGGCGCTTAATACGCAGGCGCGAATCCATTCCGAACTGTCATGTCACTCGGGACGGAGAAATTGTTAAACAATTTACGCTCAGCGGTGGTAGACCGGTCGCTCAGCAAGCTGGCGCGAGTGAGGAGGACGCTCAGCACTCACCTGTTGCCAGTAGTCCTCCAGCGACAGCTTCCACTCGAAGTACCCCGTGTCGGTGACATCTTGCAGTTCGCGGAACAAGTTACCGCTCGGAAGCACGTCCATCTTTCTTTACATGTGATGCCGATCGATGGGAAAAAATCACGCGGCGCGACGTACCCCTACCGTGGTTAGCGAACGACTAAGCCACACGGCGAGCGACCGTGCAGTGCGATAGTCGACTGAGTCGTGCCCCGCGCGCCCTCCCCCTCCCACGACAGAGACAGAGAGTATGATATGCGACAGAGAGGGCACCTCAACCTTTCTCTTTTTTTCGTCCTTTATCCTGGTTGTGATCAAGCGGGATTTGTAAGCAGTAAGACAAGTCCCCGCGAGATTTACTGTTATTATACGTCACTGTCCAATTTTTGTGTGACGGGAATACGCCGTAGTATATGGGACATTTTTTATATTGTTAAAAAGGACTGATCGTTTTATGGCGTGTAGATATTTTATCCCCTAAATTGTTGGACCATATCAAAACATCCGTTCAATTGACAAAGAAAATATTTTTTATTTTTTTAAGTGAAGGTGTTTTTGTCTCTTATTTTTACTAAAAAAGTTACGGTAGGTCTACCGTGCATACAAATATTTAAAATATTTTTTAAGCGCACTACCGTCATTTCTTTAATTTTTTCATTTTTATGCTATAAAGGAAAAAGTAAAACAAAATATTGAAAATAAAATATTATAAAACATAAATTAGTTAATATTATTAATAAATAAATTATATCACCAACCTATTTATTAATAAAACATACATAATTGTGTGATTTAAAGATAAATAAATAAAATAATAATAAAATTGCCTAACTTACTACAATAGACTATGTACAATTTGTATATAAGCACATAGATTCTATCCATATTTTAATAAAAAATATAATAAAAGTGTCTATCAACATCTACCTACATTCTACACAAAAATAAAATAAATGCCACTTGAAAGCTTCATATCAATTTTGATATACTTCTAGTAAAATTCTTAATAATTTATAATTAGGTACCTAAGTTACTGCTAAGTGCTCTCAACACGTCTGGCTCCGTACTTATGAGTCTAATGATGTGTACTCAATCGAGTACTTAATAAACTTACAGACGATACCTACTTGAAAATAATGAATATTACAATTTGTTTATTTCTGTTCAAATGATATGTCTGAGTGGATTCCAAATAAACAATAAACATACTTGTCTAATTGAAGTGTTTACGTAGGACGATCTAAATTATTCCCATCACTAAGGGCCGATTTTTCAATCATTCTGTTAATTTATAACTGCACAATAAAATTAACATTTTCTCGTGTAGAAAAAATTACAAATATTTAAAGTCATTCCTCAGTTAAAATTTATCTGGCGATGGAAAAATCGGTCCTATGTTAATGCCTATGAGCCTGAGCTACATAAAAAGAGTTTGCCTTAATCTCCACGGTTTATAGATATTAAAAGCTTCAAATATTTTTAACTACTACCAGAATAATTTTAAACAACTCTTTTATTCGAAGTCTTCTAAAAATAAACGTTAGCTAATATAAACGAAATATTCAAATGGTTAGCCGTTTATATCATTCCATTCTTATTTCAAACATTTAAATATTGCAACTACAGTCTACAAAGTGAAAGAACAAATAACTTTGTACATAGAATACAATTTAAAATAATGAAGTAAGTAACGGAGTTACGCGCTCATAAGCACATTTTTCTTATTTTGATTAATGTAGCCTAATGGACGGATAAATGGTAAAGGATTTTCATTTTATATTGGAAGAATAAAGGTTTCTTTTATAAAAATAACTTACTGTTTAATTGTCAGTAAGTTGATAATTAAACACCTATTTAGATTAACTTTAACGTTTATACAATCATTATAATGAATTGTATATTTTAAAAGTTTATTGAAAAAATAAAAAGTTTACTCTCTGGACAAGTATTTGCCGCGCGCTAGTGAATTTTCTGATTGGTGCAATGTTCACGAATCACGGGAGAGTTCGTTGTCCGCTGTAGCAATGGGCGCATCCCCTATTAGGTAGATACATACAGCAACATAGGTAATTAAAAGTTCGGTTTATTTTATTTTAAAGTGAAATATATATCAGTGGGAGTATATTAAATCAATTTACAGATTATTTAGACACCACTCCCAAAGGAAAACATCACGATGTTTTAGATTTTGTCACGTCTAAATCTGAGCTTATAGGTGAAAACCTATAATAGTTTAATTGGAAACAATTATAAGTTTGACATCGCCAACATGCATTGAGAAAGTTTGGTGATTATGCATAGTTCGTAGCTTCTCCGTGCGAGAAGAAACTTTTGCTCAGTAGTAGGCAATTCTAGGCTTTTTTTTGTTAGAACAAGCCCACCACTACCTCTCTAAACTACTACAACTGCTGTAAGCCAGGATCAACAGTAGATGCAACCATGAAAATACCAGAACACTGAAGTCCGCGTCCCAGAGACAAGATTCGCCGCCGTATGAAATTTTATTAACTAGCCTATTATATGTAATTAGACAAAATTACGATTTGCATTTGTCCAACTCGCGTTCCGATAACCTTGTTTTTTGATAACCTTGTCTAAACGCAAGACGATTTCACAGCTGAAATCGCGACAATTCCCATCGTCGTGGCTAGCTGAGTAAATTCTATGATCGTGGATTTATTAGCCGTAGTTAGAGCGAGACTCGAGTACGACTTTGTTAAGTTTCGACGGCAAAGAAGATGCCTCTGTCATTCAGTCAACATAGTCCGCGTTACTGTCACTTGATGAGGATGTCGACGACATTTCGATGAAAACCCGCTTGTAGTATAATTTAACGTGAATAAAACAAGAGTAAGATAAAATGAATAAAAGTTTATGAGTCCCACTCCTATAAGGCCCAATCCACAGATCCGGGCCAATAGCCCTATTGGACCAAAGATGCCGATACGGACCCGCGGAGAACTTAAAGGGTTGCCGGAGAGTCATACTCCTGCACTTAGAACCAAAGTCCCAGGGTGGTTTTAGTCAGTAAGGGTCTGACAATTCCTTCCGCCTTACCCAGGCGGGAAAAGTAATCCGATGATTTTCCCCGCACAAAAAAAATAATTTGGAAGTATTGAATTCAGTATTAGTTTGGAAGCTTCGCGTAAGAAGAATCGAACCCAAAACTCACTCAACCACTAGGCAAAGTAACCTTTCCCAATAAAAACAAAACGACGTAAAAGTAATTGAGTAAGATACATTAAATTATCTTAAACTAAACTAATCAATGGATACTCAACTTCATTGAAAAATAATAACATAAATTAAATAATCTAGTACTAAGATGGGACGCTTATGTACTAAAACAGCACTCACACAAGACTAACCCAAAACAAAGCATACCATTCAGCCATAACCCTCAAGAACGATAACACCTTTTGTTAGGAAAAGAAAACCATTAAGGTACAAAAATACTGGAACACTCCATATTGTGTAAAAGGTTTTGACATACATGAACAGTACAGGGTAACTTTGTTAACTCGTCACCTCGTTATAGTCACCGTAAGTGCCTTTAGCCAACACCCGCGAAGGCAGAGATGGATTAAGATTGTGGTGGGACCCGTCGCAAATTATATTTCAGGCGCCCCCGGTCGCATCAGTTTCACTCAAAAATGCCCTAGGATGGAGGTGAGTTTAGCTTCACGGGGCATTTTAATACAACGCTACTGGTGATGGTGATACGTTATTGAGCTTATCAAGTACATTGTCTCAAATAACGTAATGTAAACAATTAAAATTAATTATTATTATTGAAGCTTGTAACTCGGTGATACGTTATTGAGCTTATCAAGTACATTGTCTCAAATAACGTAATGTAAACAATTAAAATTAATTATTATTATTGAAGCTTGTAACTCGTGCGTAATTAAAAAGTTACTCTCAGTTATAATCCCCTACTGGACCTCCATTATTAAAAGCGGTTGCCATAATCACCAAGCATATCAAGCGAGGTGGAGATCTCAGTTTTATCAAAGATTACTGCTGATCGATTCGTCAAACTGTCCCATGTTACGACGCATGTGTGAAAAGCAGAAGACATGAATGCAATTTGTTGATAAGAGTTTTTTTTATAATATTATTAGTTTCAACTAGCTGTTGTCCGCGACTTCGTCCGCGTAAGATATGATTCCTGATTTATCCCATGGAGAGCATTCAATCGGGATAAAAAGTATCCTATCACCTAAGTACAGCCTATACCTTACCTATTTGCTGCCTCCTCGCAACCCAGCCATCGCGAAGGACACACGGGGCGTCGGGGATCGTGGGACGATCTCCGGCCACCGTAAGCGCGGGCCTGCGGACGACGAGCATGGGTAGACCAGAAACAGACCCAAGCGTACGGCATATATAAATAGTGGCAGAACCTATGTTCTGCGTCTTAAGATCTATATCTTTGACCCGAGCGTGCGGCGCGTCGCGTTCCGCGCGCGCCTCAAATAGCCATCAGACCACCACAGATGGGGCCCAACAGGGCCGATGCCGATTTGGAGTCGCGGAGAACCTGACGGGTAACCGGGGCTCCGGCTCGACGTGCAGGAGAAGGAACGGGGTGGTTTTTAGTCAGCAAGAGTCTGACACTACCCCCGCCTCACCCAGGCGAGCGCAGTCATTCAGTCAGTTAGTCATATACAAAATTTTATCAAAATCCATTCATAAGTTTCAGCGCGATTGACGGCGAAACATCCAAATAAAGAATCTTCCAGATTTATTAATAATACGAGTGTTATAAAAGTCAATCCGGCACTGTACTTAAGACGTCATTGCATTAAAAACACTATCTTTTAAAGCTTGTATTTCCTTCAACAACAGAGGTATCAAGTTAATATGGGAGTCCCATCCTTTGTCCTAGCACCTAGGTTGTAGGCGGCAGCTCTTTTGTAGTTAGTGTTTGTTCCTTGAGGCTTATCATGTTACACTTCTTATAGATTTGAATCGAACTAGTTGGTTGTGATGACTTCACTTGGTTTCTTAAACTCTTTTCATTAATTTTCACTATTAGGAAATATAGTGCAGTGGTTTCTCGTTGCCGTCGAATTTAAAGGTTATTTAAATCTTAAGGTTGCTGAAATCTCTTTCATCCAGTTTCCTGGTTGGATGTGTAATCGTTATACCGCCACTGTTTAGCCGCCAGAGCTTCGTTCGTT